CATCAAATATTGAATTAATAATTTAATAACCCAACCAAAAAAAATAAATAAATAAAATAAAATTGAACAACAAAAGAGCCAACCTCGCCATTCCCTAATGTTGGGACTTCATGATATAATTGTTCTTGGAGTTCACGGGCCAATTTCTCATCTGCTTCAACTTGTCTTGCCCTATCCTCCAAGTCGTTATGGGACTCAGTCTGTCTCATACCATATGACTCATCAGGATCCAAATTATTCTGAAATTGTTCATTATGAATTCTGGATGACCTTGAACTAGATTCCCCAGATGCACCAAGACAAATAATATTTGAATCATCAGAAACCATCCTAGAGGCTTTGCCAAGATTTCTTAAGGTTGGTTCATGTTTCCTTTGCCTTGTATGGAGCATTGTTGTAGCTTTAGATCCTTCACTTCTGTGGTTGGGCTTTGAGACAGATGTTGACGCTGCTTGAGGAGCACCCTGACTCTGCAGACCATCACATCCAAACGCAATCCTGCTGTTTTCTCCACTCACATTATCATTTTTTACCATTCTATTTTTGTTATGTTGATTAATTTGGGAACCACTACCATTCAACCCCAGGAAATGATGTCCAGCTGCAGGATCTACATTCTTTGAATGATTGTGTGTACTTCTCCAACCACCTTTATCTTCAAATCCTCCATCTCTACAGGAATCATTGGTTTCGCTAGCTTCAATACAGCTCACAGGACTGTAGCAAAAAAAGAAGTTTCTTAAGGGTTCAGTATGTAAGTTGTTAGATCCAAAAGATTTTTTTTACTTTTTGCTACACCAAAAGCTGTTTCAAATTTTAAAAGAAGCTACATGGACCTTTATTGTCATGCTAGTTAGAAGCTTCTCCAACAGTTCTAGCCCGCATATTTAACCAAGAATTTACATAAGAAGTTTAAACCAAAATTCCCATTATCAAGCATAACATTTGTTTGGTGTTGGGAGGGGGTGCAGTGATTAACAAATATTCAAATCGCCTTTAAAACCTTAGAGAGACAAATGTTACTATGATTTTCTACTGCTTTAAATAGGTAACACACCATGTCAGCAACTTTCCAGCCCCTTCAAAATGGATTTGGAAGATTAGCAAAAAGTAACATAAACAAAGAAAAGTATCATTACGTAAATGGTAAATGACAGAACTCATGGGGAAATGTCACATCATTCTGTTACAGGAATGCACCATGTACAGCCTACACTAACAAAGATACCACACAGCTACATGATAACATGATATGAGGATCAATAATAAAACAGAACTAATATAAAATCTAAAATCTGTTTCTAAAAATCTAATTTTGGGTAATTGAAATTACTGTCAGAACTGGTAGATATTAGATAAGCAAACTAGCACCACATATGAGAGATTATAAGATCAAAGAAGTGCATGCCATGAAACTATATGAAAGTATCAACAGAAAGTGCTGGATGTCTAAAATTTAAACTCAAATTAGATCAAAACGCCAACCCAAGGTTGAAAATATCTGATTCTAAACTCTGTTAATATAAATGTTGCTTTTAGCAAATAAAAAATTTGAGGATTACTAGACCTAATTGGCATTCAGAGTTATTAATGACAGAAGAAAAAATTTTCTAAGAAACTTTTCAGAATTAGAAAGAGTTAGAGGCAACAAAACAATGTAAACCACATCTCTCCTGAGAATAAAATATGTGTATGTGCGTGTGTGTGTGTGTGTGTCTTCAAGCAAACAAGAGGAGTAAAGGGATGCTGCAACTCGGTTACAGAAGAGAGAGGCTACAACCTCATGCCAACAACCAACTAAATGATATTTTATTTTACCCACACAATTCTAAAATAATATACAAAACAAAGGCCTCATCCACTTTAAATGTGTACAAAATAAAAATATAAAATAGCTTATGGGTTAAAAAAAGAAGGAAAAGACTAAGAAATTAACAGGTCTTAAAATTTCAGAAAACTGAACAACAAAGTACCTGCTTGATAAATTGATTATATTTATGTCATGCTCCATGGATGTGTGAGGATTGATTGCCAATCCTTTACCTTTGCGGTAGTAATTCTCTTCAGCAACTATGTCAGCTATGTTTATTGTCGATGGACTATTGGAAACTACATCCCCAACATGATTCCGTTCAACTTCAACATCTTTTGAGCAGTTTTCTAGGTGATCACCTGATTGTTTAGCCCTAATAACTATATTCTCTGGGGAGATGCACCCATTTCGAACCAATCTTTTTTTCCCAGTGACTCTTGGTAACACAACAGAGTGATTAGATGCAGACGTTTTTGTCTCAATTTCATGAGAACCACTCAAGTCATCAATTCCTTTTCTATGACCCACAACAGAACCAACCCTTCTGTATTGATTATCATCTACTTTTTCTTTTCCCTTGTGGGTGTTGCTGGATATCCCTGAAGCATTCAGGGTAGTATGCAAAACAGAATCACCATTTCTTCTCTCTTCAGCTAAAAGATTTCTTGATCTACCATGCAGTAAAGCCATTTCAAGAGGTTGGCCATGTCCATTCTGTTCAGTTAAATCCAAAATAGAATCATCTTTTCTAGATCCAAATGACTTAGAAGGAACATTAGAATACATAGCCTTTCCTTTATCCGAATGCTGACCTCCAATAGTACTACTCCTGGTCTCACGCTTGGAGTTTTTGTCTACAGATGATCTCCTAAAAAGAGAAACATTCTTTGAACCATGTGGATTATTTTCTGGAGATGATAGATCTATGATCTCTTTTTGACTCTCCATCCCACCATTGCAATGACGCTTATTACGGGGCAATTGAAGTTTCCTATGGTGATCATTTTCCCTGACCAGCCTACTCCTGCCCCTTTGGCCATCAAAACATTGTTCACCCGTAGCATCAGAAGTTCCGACATGACTAGCAACAGATATATTATTTTCATTTTTGGAAAATTCCCTGCTGACAATTTTCTTCCCTGACAATCTATCAGGAGTGTCAGGCATGTAAAGATCAACGTCCATGTCCTCCATATTCTGCATCAGTTAAAAGCTATCAAGGTTGAATATGATTCACAGAACCCAAAAACTTAAAAATTAGATGATTATAAAATAAAACAAGATGCCAATATTTACTTCAACAGATACACTACTAATTATAAAGGAAAAAGCATTCCATTAAAAAAAATTATAAGGGAAAAAACATAAATTGGAATAGAGAGAAGATTCACATCATTCTGAAAACCCAGTATGAAGGTTGAATCTCCAGCAACAATTCCATATAGAAACCATACACGCAGAGAATTAAGGCAATAAAAAGGAACTCCTTTTGAAAATTGAAAGTGGAATTTAGATAATTAAGAAATTATAAAGAATACCCAATTTCAAGAAGCACAGGAATAGACAAAAGATCAAAACTTTAGAGGAAAATCGAATTAAATGAAACATAAAGAAGAAACCCCAATTCAGAAAATTATCAAAAAAAAAAAAGGAAGGATAATTTGAAAACTTGGAAGAAAATTATAATTACCTTATTCATTTGGTGCCGTTGCGAGCCCAATTGGTGATGAAATCCCTTGATTGAGTTGAATCTGCGAGCGCGAGGCGTCCGACGAAGGCAATGACATGCGCTCGTCTGCTTCGCTCAATCTGTTTCAGTGCCCTCACGCTGTGGTTGGTCAGGACCGGGTCGGGTTATACTGTGGAGCCGACCTTACATAACCCGGATCCATTTTCCTACCTGTTTCATTGGATCGGTGATGAGTCTGATTTCAAGGGGAAGTTGGGCCTGAAGTAGCTAGCCTTTTGGACTATTTAGCCCGAACCCGACATTTACTGGTAAAGCATGTATTACGAAAATAATAATAATAATAACTCAAACAAACACTTCATCGAAAAATGAAAATGAAATTGCATAGTTATTGTCATGACCCAAAGGAATAAAAAAAAAATGTTTATTAATGTTTACATTTAAATAATTTAATG